ATTCATTCGTTTCACTTTCATATGAAAGTGAAACGAATGAATAGTGCAAAGAAAAAAAATCAAAGAAGACAAGCCGCTCTTAGCAACAAACGATATATGTTCATCCCTATTTTTATTGGCTGGAGGCTTATAAGCGAATTCGGAATAACCCTCATTGTAACTCCACAAGAAACCGGGAAAAAAATTTAGTGTTTACGGAACATTAAGCAAGGCAATCTGAGCCGATCAATATTCTTTCTCAATGTAGAAGTTTGTTCGATTGAGCTTATGACGTGAACGAAAATGCATTCTATTTTTCCAAACTTTCTTTAAATACATGGAAAATATTTATCCATTAAAAGAACATTATAGAACGAATTCTTCTGCTTCCAAACATGATAAAAGATGTGCTGGGAAGTATTTTTTAGGATAAGGAATACGCTTCTTGACATACTTAATCGAAATGAAGCAGAAAACTTTTTCACTGAAATGGAATCTGGTCTTTGTCCTTTTTAAAGAGAACGGCACAGAAACCATTCTATTATCCAGTGAAATGGTATGAAACACGTTCCATATAGGCAAGAAATGACTTTCAATCAAAAAGACCGCGTTCCAGAATATAATGAAACGTGAACGAAAGCGTTCCTCAAATCGAAGAACGTGGTATTATCACTATAGGATGCATTCAACAAAATAAAGAATCCATTATTCACTAACAACATTGCGTTTCATTTTTTGACGAACCGGTTTTTCTTCAATTTTTTTGGAACATTTTCTACTGGGGATCAGCATGTGATTTGCAGATAAATATAAAAAACAAAAAGAAAACAAAAAATCAATATAGAAATTTCTGTTGTGTAGTTTCAAGAATTTTTTGTCTCAAATTCTCTTTGACATACATTTAATGTACATATGAAAAATCAATAAAAAAATTGTTGAAATAGTTTCAACTGCTAATATTCCTATTTTTTAAAAGACATATAAAAATATGAGCTTTGATTCTTTATTGATAGTTACGTGTACTCTAAAAAGTGAATCATACAAATCAATCATCCTAGACGGTCTGAATATCAAAAGTATACTGTGAAATCTACCATTTAAAATGTTGATTTCTATTGCGGATTGCCAAACCAATAGGATTTGAGATCGAATACAGCTCAGATTTCAACTCTGCTGTCTAACTTAGCCTCAAGAAGTCGTTTTTCCTATAGCTTCATTACTATTGGTCACTGCACAACTAATAGTATTTCGATGGAAGTGCAGTACACATTCGAATTCTCCATCTCTGAAAACCTCGGAGTATCATCACTATGATCGGAAGATAGAGCTCTCTTTGTGGATCAATTAGATCATGGACCAAAATCTAATCTAGTTTTCTTTAATTATCCTTGTTATATGTAAGTCATTCCTCTTGTTTCTTTATGTTTTATATATCAGTTTGTAGCTCTTGAAATTCTCTATCGAAAGGTATATAATAGTTGGAGTTTCGATTGACTATGATAGGAAGTCTTTTACGAAAGTCGCGATGGGTCCATTTTTCCACAGAAAGCTATAGGAAAAAATGACTATTTTTGCAATAACTCAGGAACGGCTCGGTCGATCCTTCTCATCTTCAAAATCGATCGAGTTATTGTCAAGACTAATCTGTGTAGAAAGTTTCATCGCAATCTGACTCTGCTGTCAAAAGTTATCATGTAAACAGCCAACCGAACGTTTGGACACAGTGACTATTCTACAGTGTACTCACTTTTTGAGTAGACAATACTATGATTCAGTTCAAAACTAATATCAGATTCAGAATCAGTGTTAAAAACTGAGTCGATTAATGTATTTTGTGAATAATTACGAGCAAAAATTGTTTTCGAAAAATCCCCGTACCCCCTCTCAGGAATGGCCTGGTCAAAAATCACAATTTTTTCCATAACTCAGCCATTTCTTGACGGATCATTCTCATCTTCGAACTTGACCGAGATAATTTCAAGACTGAACTGTGTAGAAAATTTCATCATGATCGGACTCTCCTTTCGAAAGTTATCGTGTAAACAGCCGGCCGGACATACTGACTGATTCTAGAGTGTACTCACTTTTTGAGTACACAAAAAAGCAGCACAATAAATAATTGAATGTTCTTTAATGAAGTTGCTAATATCTAATTGTATACCTATAAAGAAAAGGTTGTATTATAAAATCAATATAAATTTAATCAAGATTTTTCTTTTTTTTTAATTCTTTTTCAATTCGTTTATTTCCATTATTCATGACCATCTCTCTCTGTGGCTCTGTGTATTAGTCGATAAAAAAACGTCAGATTCCTATGTTTTCTATATACATGTCATGGGCAAAATCAAAATTCATCCAAATTTTAAATTTGCCTGAACTTTTCATGCAAATTTCAAAATTGACTGACTTTTGACAAGGCAAATTTTAAATTTGCCCAAAGAATTGGTCAAATTTCAAATTTCACTAAATTTTAATTTTGCTCATAGCATACATATAGATAAGCATAATCATACTTACATCTTTCATAGCCTAAAAAAATAATTATTTGTAACAGAATGACTACCGCGATCTATATCTCTTTCCAAAGAGAAAAGAAGAATATTATTTGTGTTTTCGATGATATATTAATTAGGTTGGCCTACATATTTCAACAGATTCATACAGTCTCTCTGAAGATATTTCCACTGTACTAAAAATCTCTTCTAAAGCCTTTCCTCAATTCCACTAATTCAAATATAAGATTAAAACTAGTCGATAAATAAATTAAGTCATAACGAAAACCAACAGAAAAGAAAACAAAATAGATAATTTTTTAACAGTCTCACCCTCTCGAGAAAAAAACAAAAAAGAAAACAGCCACTATCATCAAGATAAAATTGGAAACGAGTAGAAACTTCGAACGATGTTGATTTTGCGAAAATTCAATTGAACTTTTCACTTTTTCCTCTTTACGCTCTCTCTGTCTTTTGTCTTATTTTATCATTTTATTCTCTTCTTTCTTCCTATTTCAGTTCCTCCATTACGTGGAAGTTCAATTGACATTCATCCAAATGCTAAATGGCAACAAAATGGTATCACTGTGGCTGGAGGAAAAGGATCTGGCAATGAAATCCATCAACTCTCTTACTCATCGGGTTTGTATATTGATGAAGATCAAAATGTCTATGTCGCTGATCAAAAAAATCACCGTGTTGTGGAATGGAAATGGGGTGCGACGAGTGGCCAAGTAGTCGCTGGTGGAAATGGACGAGGAAGTGGGGCTCATCAGTTGTCTTACCCATTCGATGTGATTGTTGACAAAGAGAGAGATAGTCTCATCATCTGCGATCGTTCGAATAGAAGAGTGGTTCGATGGCCTCGTCGAAATGGAACAAGTGGAGAAACAATCATCTCTAACATAGATTGTTGGGGTTTGACAATGGACGAGAATGGATCTCTCTATGTTGCGGATGAGGGAAAAGATGAAGTGAGACGATATCGAAGAGGCGAATCCCAAGAAACAGTGGTTGCAGGTGGCAATGGAAGGGGAAATCGTCTCGATCAACTCTATCGCCCACAATACATATTTGTCGATCGAGATCATTCAGTATACGTGTCTGATTGGGGAAATAATCGTGTGATGAAATGGGTGGAAGGTGCAAAACAAGGAATTGTCGTGGCTGGTGGTCAAAAATATGGAGATAGCCTTACACAGTTATCATATCCTAAAGGAGTTGTTGTCGATCAATTGGGCACTGTCTATGTAGCTGATGACGAAAGTGATCGAATCATACGTTGGCCCAAAGGAGCCACACAGGGAAGTGTCATTGTTGGTGGAAACGGTAGAGGAGAACAACCGAACCAACTCAGAGGGCCCTTCGGTTTGTCATTCGATCGGCATGGCAATCTCTATGTCGTTGATTGGGGAAATGATCGAGTACAAAAATTTAACATCGACTAAATTGAATATGATGAGTAATTTAATTTCTTTTTACTTTCTTTCTCTCAAAAATAAATCACGCTTGAATGAAAAAGAATCAAAAGCTATTCTATCCGCACGCGCGCATGACCAGAAACTATCCTGATGGAGCCGTGACGAGTGTAAAGCTCATGCATGCACGAGACACACTCAAATCATTCTCACCATAGATACGTCAAAGATTCTGACGAGCCCAGTTCGGTGCCACGAACGCCAAGACAGTTCCTGGCCGATCTTTTGAGGGCTACCCGGAAGTTCTTCAAAAAATAAGGACTAATCCCAACGAACATGACTTACTCGTTCCAAGACAAACACTCACTCTGTCCTATCCCTATCTCAAAAATAAAATAAAAAAATAATTACTCATTGATTGATGTTGGACGACGTTGATGAAGACAACGCAATGATATTGAAGGCTAAACGAGAACAAAAAAATTAATATGAAGCGATGAAAAAAAATGAGATAACTTATCCTACTGTTACCTTTTTTCTTCACCATTCGTCCCCTAAAATAGAAAAAAAATATCTATAATATGATCAAAGGAGAGGGTGTGTGTGGAGTAGGTGTGGATCAGAGATGGGCAGCTCCGACCCTTTCTATCTCCAGCTCAGCTCCAGCTCCAGTCAATAGCAGACCGCTCCTCTCCGACTCCGCTCAAGATTAAGAAATATTCTGCCGACTCCGCTCTAGCTCCGCTCCGTCTCCGTTTCGACTCCGCTCCTGCAACAAATTTTCTTAATTATGCTTTATGATTAGCTGTGTTCAGTGAATTTCTCGTGTTGGTCTAAATATAAAAGCATGTATATAAAGTACAAAAAAAGAACACATTGATTAACAATATATTTAACTTAGTTATAATATAATATGAAAAACGTTTACTTTTCAAGAACGGTACTCGCTTTTTTTTCATTACATGATGACACTGAATCGTTATTGTCGATTATAGTAACGGAAGATGATTCATCGATATCATGATCGTGCATTTTTTTTTGCCATGATAATCGTGTTCGTTCAAGTGACACTTAGCTGAGAAATGTTATTCTGATTCGGCACTATTCACCTTTCACATTTTATATTATGCAATTTCTCTCGTTCTCGACGTCATTTTCTCCCATTTCCAAAGTAACAATAGCTTAGTTCAATTAGACAAAAAAGAAGACTGTATATAAACGGTCAGTCATTGTTTCAGAGATTGCCATTGACTAAAATGTCACAATGGGCTATCAATTTCGATAATTCGCTGATGACGAGCTTTTTCTCATTAAATCTTCCGTCATTTTGTATAGAACAATAAATCGAAAACTGAGCTTATCATTGGAGCTATAAATAAAATGTCGCTCCGACTCCGCTCCAGCTCCATTTTATTTATGAAGCGCTCCGCTCCGCTCTCGCTCCTGGAGCGTAGCTAGCTCCATGGAGCGACCGCTCCGGAGTCGGAGCTGCTCATCTCTGGTGTGGATGTGGGTGTGGGTGGGGTGTGGATGTGGGTGTGGGTGGGTGTGGTGGATGTGGGGTATGGGTGTGAATGTGATGGATCTGGGGATGGGTCTGGGGATGGGTCTTCTTTTTCTCTGCATCCACACCCACTCTCACACCTGCACCCACCCACAACCACACCTACACCCACACCAACGCCCACACACCTGCTCACACCCACACCCACACCCACACACCCCACACCCACACCCCACACCCACACCCACACCCCACACCCATACCCACACCCACACCCACACCCACA